GTCCCAAGGGACCAGAACAAAGCAGCACTGTGGTAGTTGGCCCAGCTGTAACTCAGAGTCAGTCAGATTTTACCTCAGAAGAACTGGGTGTGAGTTTCAAGCCCTGGGAATCATTAGTTTAACTTAGGGTGAGCTTGAGAGTTCCCCCATAAGCCTGTAGTGTTGTTATGCTAAGTTGTCCAAGTTCTCCTCCCCTACTGGTTACTTATTTCTCCTCTATAGTTATTGTTCTAGAGTGTTCTACTCTCAGGTGTATATATTGTTGCTTTGCCTTTATCTCAGGTCTTTGAATCCCACCCCTCGTACTGTGCTCAACTTCTCCATGTTTATTGTTTTTCACCCTGTTAATAAAGTTCTTTTTGGGCAACTCCATTGATCCTGCTTGTAGGAGCGTCTGGGGATAGGACAGTTGCGACGGACGGAGACGAGAGATCTCTGAAGCCAAGTCTTGGAACTTGCGGTTTATTGCAAAGGGTGTGGGTGCAGGAGCCTTGTTTGGAGCTGCCAGCCACAGCTCAGAGCAGGTCCAGAAGAAGAGATTGAAAGAGGTGCCAAAAATGGATGCCCGAGAGAGGAGGGGAGTTCCCATTACTATACAATAAATCTTCTTCTGTGCTGCATATTCTAATTTTCACTAACCAATCTAGTACAAGATACAAATCTCTTAGCATTTACATACAGCCTATAAGAATCATTACATTATCATACTGTGTTACATTTTAAACCCTAAAAGCTACTCTTTGGACCCCTTCTGCTGAGCTAGCAGGGTCTGCTCTGACCCTTGGACCTGTCTGCAAGCAGAGGGTATTGTTTCATCAAAAGAAGATTACTTTCAGCAGACCATACCATTGTTTTTCATTTGTTCAGTAACTAAGGCTTGTTGTCTCAAAGCTTGCTTTCATTTTAATCTCACCTATAGTTTCCATATTCTCAAAATCTTTGGCCAGGCAATCATATTTATAAGGCTTTCCTGTTTCATCTTTCCCAGCATCTGCTCCTTTTCATTTTCACCACCCTTGCCCGGATGTTGGGGAACCAGAAAGGTTTGTCACAGCCACCCTCATTGCGAATTTTGGCGCCCAAACAGGGACCCTGACATTGAATCATGTCAGCTGGCGTTAGCTGATGGATAGGCCAGTGCTCCCTGGGATTTTGGATTGTGCCAGGCCTGGCTGATTCATCATTGCTTCGAGGGACCTTGCCCAGGATCAGTAGGGACAACAATGGATTGCATAGGATTGCAGGTGGTTTTGGGGAAATGCAAGACATTTATTGCCCATTTTGCCGCTGTGTTTTCACAGTATGAACCCACATCCCATAATAGATCTGGGGTGTTTGGTGGCTGTTCCACCTAAGGGGGAGAAAAAGAAAAATGGGCAGCCGGATGTCCAAAGTAGAAAGGTGTGTATATGGATGCTTTAAGTTAATTCTCACTGATCATGACCAAATATCTTCAAAGAACAAATTAAAATCAATCATGAGCTGGATCATTAAAAATTTTCCAGATGCCCCAGAGCCTGACCATCCTCCCTCCATCTTGGCTCCTCCACTTCTGGGCTACCACAACCTTCTCTGCTGCCCTGAATGTACCTCCAGACTCCAACCCCACAGCTGCGAGTCATGCCCCACTGTCAATCATTCCAACTTCACCCTGGGCCATGCCTCCAGAACTCCACCCCAGAAGTCTGCCGTCCCAAATCAAGGCCATTCCTCCCCAACACCTGCCAAAATGGCCGTGCCCTTTGCCTCACCCTCTGGCAACAATATAACCCCATGATCAAAGATACTAAGCCCAAATATTTGGGCTTAGTATCTTTGATCATGGGGTTCTATTGTCACACTATTTCTAATCCAAATGGTTCTGCTCCAAGTTATTTTTCCTCCCCAGAAGACAGTTTGGATTCCCCAGATCCACCTTGCCCCTCAACCCCAGAAGATTTCTAGGAAAGGATCCAGAAAGAAGCAGCTAAGGCAGGAGACTTGCAAATAGCCTCGAAACTCCTCGTTGGCCCCATAGGAAAGAAAAGGGCAGAATCTCAGGTATCAGCCAATGGTTCATGGGGAAATCAAGGATATGTGTAGGGCAGCTAAAGACCACAGGAAGGACTTAACTTGTTTTAATGGCCTAATGAGGGCCATGTCTACAGTACGTCTTAATCCCCTATGATTTAAAATATATTATGACCATGTTGTTGTCACCTACAGAATACACCCTGTGGGAAGGGGGATGGAAGTGTTTACGAAATCACTTAATAGCAGACTATGCTAATAATGAGGCAAGGGCAAAATTGACAATCAACCATCTAGCTGGAGAAGGACAACAAAGCCTACCAGATGATCAAGCAGCAGTTATCCCCAGAAAAGTTTTGGATGATATCAAAGAGATGGCTTTGAAAGCTTTAATCCAGGTATCGAATGGTAGCACCCCCAATGAGGACTACCTTGGGTGGCTGCAGCTAAAGCTTTAGGACAATTAGACCATCTTGGGTGCCTGTTAAGTAAGCAAACCAATGCTACCTCCCCCACATTGAGTGGCCTGCTCTCAGACACAGAGACCATCAGACATGCCACTTTGTAGAACAGCGATAGAGTTTTTACTCTGGGAACATGGGCATGGCTGTGTAGACTCTGAGGGCATGTGTTGCATGAACCTCTCCAGCCACAACGAGTCAATCCACAAGAGCATTCAGGTACTGAAGGAAGGGTTCAAGAATGTTCAGGTGGAAAGCAAAGACTGGTTCAATAAACTCTTCCAATGCAAGGGACTAAAGGGTTGGATGATGACTAGCTAAAACAGGACATTTAACTCTCTTAGTGGTTGTTGTTGGATTGTTAATTGTCCCATGTTTGTTTGGATGCTTTTAGAAAGTCTTACAAAATTCTTTCTATTCCATCTTTGTTGTAAAACAGAAAGGGGGAAGATACCCAGCACAGGATCCTCATGGACTCCTTGGAGGAGAGAATTGGAGGCCTGGATAGCACAAAAACCTCGCAGAAACTCAGATTGGGAAGGAAAATCCTTAAAAGTATCTAAAAGTATTCTTAAATCCATCAAGTAGCTTAAAAACCTTGAGTATCTCAAGGCATTAATGGGCACCATGGAGTGTCAGTACAAAGCTCTCAAGGGACTTGTTAAAGCAGATGATTGGGGTCATGATTGCATAAACCTCTCACAGAGTCTGTAACAAAAGGGAAACACCAAATACCCTGAAATGACTGAAGTACCCTGAAGTATTAATGACCCCACTGAGTGTTGTTACTGACAAAGCCTCTCCAGGGACTAATTACAGCAGATAGTTGGAGGCCATGATTGCACAAACCTCTCAGAGACTCCAAGGCAAAAGCCAAACCCAAAGTCCTTTGAAAAACCTGCAGTCCCTGGGAGCATTATGGAGCCTCCAGGGCTATTCCTGACAAAGACGCCTCAGGGACTCCTTCCAGCAGATCCGTGAGGCCACTGGGATGTGGGTTAGGGGGAGATGCTGAGGGCAGGACAAGGGGCTGACAGTGCCCAGCCTTGCTGGGGCTGTGCCAGGAGGCCCCAGGGCCTCAGGACAAGGTGTCTCCTCACAGCCCTTGGTGACACAGACCCTGCTGTGGCCCAGGGCACCAAGACTTGGCTTCTCTTTGTCCCCACCTGTCATCACTGCGTTCAGTTCTCTGCTCTGCCTGGGGCCTGGGGACACTTTCTCAGTCGTGTCCCTCAATGGGACCCATTAAAACTTCAAGAAACTTTGGAGTTGGATTCTGACTTGGAGTTCTGGAGAGGTTTCTTCAGCTCCCTCTCAGGAACTGATGTTCAGGGTCTGAGCACAAAGCCCCAGAGGCTCATTAAAGTCCTTGTGCTGTGTCTGTGCTGATGAGCTGGGCTGGGCTCCTGGCACAGAGACAGCTCCTGGTAAGCAGGAAGAGCTTCAAAAGCGCATTTCTCTTGAGGAGCAGCTCTTCTGCCAGCCCAGCAGGGCTGGGGCACTGCCTGCAGCCAGCCTGGGCACAGCACAGCGGCACAGAGAGCTTCAATCAGTCAGGGCTGGGAAGGTGCTAAGTGCCTGGGGCAGAATCACTGCCAGCCCTTGGCACAGGAACCTCTGGCTGCAGGACAATGCAGCTGCATCTCCTGGAGTGATCTCCTAAAGCTGCAACACCCCAATGCCTACAGACTCTGTGAGTACATTCTCTGACTGTCTCTTGTGCAGAGCAGCCAGGGGTGCCCAGGGCTGTCCTGCAGAGCAGGGTCCTGCAGCCCAGGGCGCTGTGCTGGGGCAGGGACTCTGCTGCCTGCCAGGGACAGCTCTCAGCCAGCCCTGGCAGCTGCTCCCAGCACTGGGGGACAAGATCTGGGTGAGAGGAGACAGCTGGTAAGGCTTGGAAGTGTTCTCCTTCTGTGGTGAGGATGCTGCATTGTTCAGGACCGGTTCCAGAAGGACATTTAAACCCACATAATTTCCAAGTTGATTATACAGGGAGCACAGGAAGGCAGGGGCTGCATAAAAGGGAAATTCCTGGAAAATTCTGTCTTTTTAATCTACTGCTCTGGGTTGCCTGGATAGGAAATTGCACATAGATATTTATCTCTCAGTTGAGGTCGAGAAAAATAAGAAGAAATTTCTCTCAGGTGTTAATAAACCAGGAAGTGACAGAAATCAGCACAGGGCCCTCTAGAAGCTCCATCAGTTTTGCTTTTCCAGCCTCCTCAGAGTTGCTCTGTTGCCATCAGAGCCTGCAGAGCCAGAGCTGCCGCTGGGCAGTGCCTGAGCTGGGAGGGGTCTGCAGGGTAGAGCTGAGCCCCCAGGGCTGGGCTGGGCTCTGGCAGCACTGGCAGGGCCCAGCCCTGGGCACAGGGAAGCAGCTGCTGGCAGGGACAGCTCCAGGTAGCAGAGCCCTGGGCAGGCAGTGGGGGGAAAGTGCCCCCAAGCTGTCCTGGGATATTTAACATCCTCTCCAAACACAACTATTCCATCGTTACTTTTTTTACAGATCCCCATGCTAAGGCACTGCAAATGTCCAACAGCAGCTCCATCAGGCACTTCCTCTTGCTGGCATTGGCAGACATGCGGCAGCTGCAGCTCCTGCACTTCTGCCTCTTGCTGGGCATCTCCCTGGCTGCCCTCCTGGGCAACGGACTCATCATCAGTGCCGTAGCCTGCAGCCACCACCTGCACACGCCCATGTTCTTCTTCCTGCTCAACCTGGCCCTCAGCGACCTGGGCTCCATCTGCACCACTGTCCCCAAAGCCATGCACAATTCCCTCTGGAGCACCAGGAACATCTCCTATGCAGGATGTGCTGCCCAGGTGTTTTTCTTTCTCTTCTTCATCTCAGCAGAGTATTTCCTCCTGACCGTCATGAGCTACAACCGCTACGTGTCCATCTGCAAACCCCGGCACTACGGGACCCTCCTGGGCAGCAGAGCTTGTGCCCACATGGCAGCAGCTGCCTGGGCCAGTGCCTTTCTTTATTCACTGCTGCACACAGTCAATACATTTTCCCTGCCCCTGTGCCATGGCAATGCCATGGGCCAGTTTTTCTGTGAGGTGCCCCAGATCCTCAAGCTCTCCTGCTCCAAATCCTACCTCAGGGAAAATGGGCTAATTGCAGTGAGTGCCTGCTTGCTATTTGGCTGTTTTGTGTTCATTGTTTTCTCCTACATGCAGATCTTGAGAGCCGTACTGAGGATCCCGTCTGAGCAGGGATGGCACAAAGCCTTTTCCACCTGCCTCCCTCACCTGGCCGTGCTCTCCCTGTTCCTCAGTAGTGCCATATTTGTTCACCTGAAGCCTCTCTCCATGTCCTCCCCATTCCTGGATCTGTCAATGTCAGTTCTGTACTCGGTTGTGCCTCCAGCTGTGAACCCCCTCATCTACAGCCTGAGGAACCAGGAGCTCAAGGCTGCAGTGGGGAGACTGATGACTGGGTGCTTTCAGGAACACTAAACTGGAGAATTTCTGCAAATCACTTGCAATAAAACTAGTTTTTGATACTTCTTGTTGGGTTCATTTTTGAGATTTCTTTCCTTTCTTTTAGTTTTTTCGTATTGTCCACAGGTAAATGTCATTGTTCATGCCATTTCTCACCACCTTCCCTGTGGCCAAAGACTGTGTCAATGGGGGGCGGCACTCTTGGTGTATTTAAAGGAACTAAGGGATCTCCCAGGAAAGTTTTCTGCAGAGATACCCATTTTGTTGCCTTCTCTGGAGCTGCAGCAGCAATGTCTTTGTGCAGAGCTGAGGGCAGATCAGCGTTGGCACAGCAGCCTTGCTCCTGCTGGCCACACCATTACTAATCCAGGCCAGGAGCCATTTTCCTTCTTGGCCACCTGGGCACGCTGCTGGCTCATGTCCAGCCTGCTGTCCATCAGTCCCTGCAGGTCCCTTTCTGCCTGGCTGCTCTCCAGCCACTCTGTCCCCAGCCTGTAGCGCTGTGGCCAAAGTGCAGGTCCTGGGACTTGGACTTGTAAACCACACCTTGTGTGATCTGGGCCCTGGATCCAGCCTGTCCAGGGCCTTGTGCAGAGACCTGCTACCCTCCAGCAGATCAACACTCACATCCAGCTTGGTGTCATCTTCAAAGATGCCCTTGGTTCCATGGGACCCCTCACTGTCACAATGGCCTCTTGGTTACACCCTGCACTTTCGCACTGCTCTCCTTGGTTCCATGAGCCCTTGCTGAGCAACAATGGTCTCCTTGGTTCCATGGGGCTTCACAGTGTCACAATGTTCCTGATGGTACTGCAGTTCCACAGCGGGCCCTTGGTTCCATGGGGCCCCAGAGTGTCACAATGGCCCCATGGTCACATGAGGTCCCACACTGTCACCATGGCCTCTGGGGTTCCACAAGTCCCCTCAATCTCACAATGGACTCCTTGTTTCCATGAGGCCACACAGTATCACAACATTCTTCCAGATTCCTTGAGCCCCCATCGTGTCGCAGCAGCCCCTTGGTTACACAGGATCCTGCAGTGTCCCAATGTCCCCTTGGTTACATGAGGCCCTGCAGTGTCAGAACGGCCCCTTAGTTCCATTGGGCCCTGGAGTCTCCAAAAGGTCTCCCTGGTTTTGCAGTGTCAAAATGGTGAAACCCCTTGGTTACACAAGGCCCTGCAGTATCACAATGGCCTCTGTGGTTCCACGAGGACCCAGAGTGTCATGGTGCACTCCCTGGTTCCATTTGGCCCCAGAGCATCACAATGGACCCCTGGTTCTGTGGGGCTGCCCAGTGTCACCATGGTCCTCTTAGTTCCACAAGGCCCTGCAGTGTCACAATGGCCCCAGAGTGTCCCAATCATCAGAGAATGACAGAATCAAATAGGCTGGAAAAGACCTTTGGGATCATCAAGTCCAACCAAAGCCCTAATACTGCCTTGTCACCCAGACCATGCCACTAAGTGCCACTGGAGAGGGACAGTGACTCTGCCACCTCCCCCCTGGCCAGCCCATTCCAGTTCCCACTCACCCTTTCTGTAAAGAACTTCTTCCTATTGTCCAGCCTAAACGTCCTCTGGTGCAGCTTAAGGCTGTGTCTTCCTGTCCTGCCCTCCGGCAGATCCACACTCACACCCAGATTGGTGCCCTCTGCAATTTGTGAATGGTGGACTCGATCCCCTCACCCAGATCATCAGTGAAGATATTAAACAGCACTGGGAACAACACAGATCCCTGGGGACAGCACCAGTGCCTGGAAACCAGCTGGGTGCAGCAGCACCATCCCCACCACTCTCTGGGCCCAGCCTCCAGCCAGCTCTTAAATCTCCCAGCGAGGAGGGAACCTGCCCAAGCTTTGGGCTGCAGCTTTTCCAGGGAATGCTGTCAGAGAAAGTGTCAAAAGCTTTGCTGAATTCCAGGCACACAACATCCACAGCCTTTCCTGCATGCACATGTGGGTCACCTCGTCATAAAAGGAGACCAGGTTGGTCAGGCAGGACCTGCCACTCCTAAATCCACGCTGGCTGGCTCTGATCCCTTGGCCATCCTGTGGGTGCCCTGTGATGGCACTCAAGGTGATCTGTTCCATAACCTCACTGGGCACCCAGGTCAGGCTGACAGGCCTGGAGTTCCCCAGCTCCTCCTTCCAGGCCTTCTTGGGGATGGGCTCACATTGGCACCTCCAGTGCTCTGGGATCTCCCTGGTGAGCCAGGACTGATGGTAAATGATGGAGGGCAGCTCCCTCATCCCCCTAGGATGTATCCCATCTAATCCAATGCCCACACTTGTGAGCATCTGAGTGGCTCAGCAGGTGACCAACTGCTTCCTCCTGGGTTACAAGGAGCTATTCTGCTCCCTGTGCCCATCTACCAGCTCAGGAGAACACTTGTCCTGAGGAAAACCTGTGCTAAGATTGAAAATTGAGATATACAAGGCATTAAGTGGCTCAACCCTATTTTATATATATATATATATATATATATATATATATATATATATAGTGACTATATTCTCCACTGCATCCAATGAAGAGTAGACATTCTCTTTCTCAGTCCTTTTGCTGTATTTTTTTTTTCAGAAGCCACCAGGTTAAGCTCTAATTGAGCTTTCACCTCTCAACTTTTCTTTCTGTATAACTTAACAACATCCTTAAACACTTCCTAAGTTGCTGGTCCTTTTTTTCCCCTTAATTCCCACAAAAACTCCATGGGCAGCCAGGCCAGTCATTTTCCTTTCAAGCTCATCTTTTGCCACACTGGGACAGGCTGCTCCTTCCCCCTTAAGATTACTTTCTTGAAATGTGTCCATCCTTCCTGACCCCTTTGTTTTTGGGCTGTTTCCCTTAAAAAAATCAGTACCTGATTTGGTACTCCGCAAATCAGCATCCTGAACAGGTCAAAGTCTGCCCTTCCTAATTCCAGTGTAGTTTTGTTGCTGCCCCTCCTTCTTTCACAGAACATTGAACACTTGAATATTTCATGGTCACTGTGCCCCAGACAACCTCTGCCCCTGTATCTGCCTCCAGCCCTTCTCTGTTTATGAACAGCAGCAGACAGAGCTTTCCTTGTGTAAAGGTTTGACACTGGCACAAGGCCAAATGCCCCCATGAAAATACACCTTCTCTGGTGTCTGCTGTGAGATTTTGACCAGGAATAAACAAAGCAGGCTCTCCCTTGAAAAAAAGAAAAGTTTATTAACTAAACTACAAAAACAATTACTAAACTACGCACAAAAGAAAGAAAAAAACAAAAAAAAAACACAAGGAAAATGAAAACCTCACAAAAACATTCTCCTCCTCCTCCCCCCTAAATTCCCAATACAATACATCCTCCAAAATCACCAGTTCTGGGTCCAGCACCACCCTTTAGAATGCTCAACTTTCAGTTCCTCAAGAGGAGAGGGAGTCCTTCCATGTGTCGTGGTGGCCTTTTCCGTCCTTGTTCCGGTGCTCTCACCACCGAACAATAATCAGGGCTGCTTCCAGGGTTGTCTTTTTAAGGATGCTTTGTCCAGTTCCAGAAAAGCACAGTCTTTCACCTTTGGGACATCTGTCCCCCCCATATTTTATATACCCCCTGCGGCCGAGGGGTACCCACACTGAATCTTCTTTGGCTCTGGGACATTTCTCCCCCTGGACTCAGTCTCTGTATTACATGGAAACATAGCTCTGTCCATGGCTACACAAAAGAGTCCAGCATAAAATGCCACTCCATCTTCTCCATCTTTCCAACATCTCTCACTCTCTCTCTCTCTGGTCCAGACCTTTATCACTCGTCTAGGAAGGGTTAATGTTCTGTGAAGTTTTCATTGTCCAAAAAGGGTTAAAAACTCCTCCAAGAGGCTGGACTCCTGGCTGCACCCCCCCCCACCCCACCCAATCTTCTCAGCCGGGCTGCCTGCTGCCAGCACATGTTTACTGAATTTCAAGGTAACGGCACAAAAACACAGGCTGCACTCTCTCTCTCTTTCTGTCTCCAAGGGGGGGAACAGGCTGCCCATTGCTTCCCGGCATTTCTTTACTTCTTCCTTCCACCCTTGGGGGGGGCCAGGCCTACCTCTCCCGGGCCGGGCCGCATGGCTTTTCCCCTCCCCCCGCCCAGCCAGCAACTGGGCCGGGGGAGAGACCCAACTGCTTCCCGCCGGAAGTCCAAAGAGACCCTGCCAGGGGGAGAGCCCTGCTTTTACCCTGTGTTCTCAGAGCTGGATCCAATGCCCAGTGGTTGGGCCAGATGGCAATATTCAAATCTGAACACTCATTGGCCCTATCTACAGCATCCCAGAAATCCTGTTTCTGGGTCAAACCATGACACCTTGGCAGTGGTAGCGTTACCAAAAATTTGGTAACACAGAAAATTCTTTAACCCCTATGTAGTTAAGAAGCAGCATTCTTTATTCAGCTGCATGCACGGGGTATAGCTCCTTCCAAAGCCGTGCATGTTGAGAACAGGAAAGTTTCCATTTATTTTCTGTATTTTGCACACATATACATTGATTGTCCTGGACTAAACACACATGTGATTTCTGCAAAATCATTAGCATATTTCTCCTCACCATTACCCATGTGTTCTTCTGTCCTGGGGGTCTCTCTGGTGGTCCCTGGTGGTCATGGACCCCAATGTTCCCGTGGGCCTGGCTGAGCTGGCAGGACACTGAGGCTGGTGAACTTCCAGTTCCCCTTCTCACACAATGGGCATTGTGTGGTTTCCATAGGCCTGGGATTTTGGAGAACAAGCTCCCGGTGTCAGTTCACCTGGTGGAGACAATTTATCATCTGGTAACATGAGGTCACAGAGTGGGCTAGTGGGCTATGACATCACAGAGTGCAGTATGTAGGTTATTGAGCAGTGTCATGGTTTGACAGTGGCACAATGCCAGTGCCCCATGAGAATACCCTCTCCCTGGTGTCTGCTGTGAGATGTGACCAGGAAAAAGCAAAGTAGGCTCCTACTTAGGAATAAAGAAAACTTTATTAACTAAACTACAAGGGAAAGAAAAAAAAAGAAACACAGAA